ATAACATAATGCATGATTCATAGAAATTTTTTAAATGCTAAGAAAAACGGTAAATTTTATGTGTGGAATTAATATTTAGAAATTCCAAATAAAATTATCGTTTGCTTTCTAAAAAATATGAGGTCGAGTTTCATATGCCTTAGAATAAATTTTAAAACAAATTTTAATAACTTTACTCATATAAATTTTTTTAATGTATGCACAATGTATGTGTATATTGTAATTATATATATTTAAATGTATGCATGTATTTGTACATTACTTGTTATTATGTACATGTATACGTCGTGTGTACATGCGTACATTGTGCATATAACTATTTTTTTGTACATCCATGTATTACATGCGCATAAGTTTTAACAAAGTATGTAGTTATACAAGTACATACAAAAGTTGTACATAAGTACATACTTTGCGTGCACATATATCGATGTACATATAAATATGCATGTATACATGTACGCATTTTATTTACGCAATTATGTGCATATATTGCACCTTTAAATAAAATTCTTACATATTGTACGTAAATACGTACAATTTTATATACATAAGTACATTAATGTAACGCACCTATTATCATCACTGTTGAAGACGACAGATCTGGTGATGACATCATCAAAATCATAAATGATTCTACAACGCTACCAATTGTGAAGAAGGTTTTCAAGACAAAGAATTTCGTCGAAATTAAGTTTCACGATCTTGAGGCAAAGACTAAATTAACAAATAGCATCAAAAATAAGCTCGAATTCCACGACAAAGAACAACGCCTTACCTCACTTATAATTCTGAATGCACCAGCTCTCTTTGATGGCAACAGTATATCCAACATCCTCCAGCATTTCAGTGAATCATCATTTGACAATAATACCATCACCTACACAAAGTCAATACCTCACAAAAACATGTTGACAAAAAACATATCATTGTCAATGTATCGCATAAACTTGCTCAACAATTCCTGAGGACAAAACACATCTACATAGGCCTTAACAGATGCATTGTCAAAAAAAAAGAATTCTACTTCAACGCTGCACATGGTGTCAAGGTCTTGATCATTCCACCCACTCTTGCACTCAAGAATTCGCCACTTGCTCTAACTGCGGAGGCGACCATCACACAAATGAATGTCACTCCGACGAAAAATTTTGCATCAACTGTTGGCACACCAATACCTTTTTTGGAACCAGCCATNAATTGATTACATAGCTGTAATTATCTGCAATCAATTACAGTTGTAATCGATTACTGTAATCAACGGCCAACTCTGCTTTCTGGGTCAGAGTATATTTTAAAGATATTAGACTTCTAACCCAAATTATCTAAATATTCTAAAATGACACTGTGCAACCAAAAATACAGCAGATGAAAAAGTCACGGAGTTAGTCACAAATCAGTTTTTTATCTTTTGAGATATAAACAAGCTTGTTGAATTCGCGGAGACTTATTCCGTTGACTGTGTCAACACTATGGTTAACTTACTTTGTTAACTCCCTTGCGGAAAACTTGCTGATGACAAAAAAAAAAAAAAATTCCATCCTTCGCATTAAAATTAATAATCCTATTAAAAAAAAAATCAGTATAGTTATTAACTACACTTCAATTTCTTTCTTATGTTCCTTTTTTGTTTGTTAGATGTAGTTATATTACTACTATGAAGAAATAAAAATAATGATACTAATTCACTGGACGCAACAACTCACCAGACATACTCTCCGGTTTAGGATCTTTAGGTTTGTGACCAAACGAATTTTTCGGAGTGGATTCTAATTCAGTCGTCAAGTTTTGGTCAGGATTATAAGCACAAGAGCTATAAATAAACAAAAAATGAACAAGATTGCTATAAAAACTTTTATGAAATTTACATAATAAGCCTCATAATAACCAGAGTTGGCAGCGTTTAGGACAGAATGGATTAATCCACGGTTTAATCTGTCCTGTCCAAAACTGTCCTTACTCAAATTATGTCATAATTTTAAAAAAATATTGTGAAAAATAAAACGTTAATTTTTGAACAAGAAACAAAATGAGGACAATTTTTTTGTTTTATTAAAAAGTGTATTATTATTTTTAAAATTGCATTATTTATCTTTATGCGAAACATAATTTATCAGCATTAAAAGCCTATAGATTCATATTTAAGGGATAAGGTATTAACTTTTGTTGTTCAATGAGTTGTGGAGCTTTGAAAGTTATAAATCGTTTCCTGTTCTATTATTTTCTTTTAATAAGTTTAAACAAATTGTACAAAAAGTATCAAATATTTATTAATATATGTAATTATTATGTGTTACACATATAGAATTTTTACCGTTTACCAATGTTAAAGTTTTTGGACACTTTAAGTCAGTTTAGGACAATTCAAGACAGTAAAACCCACGTGTCCAAATTAGGATGTCCAAAACCACAACCTTGAAACTATACATAAAAATAAACATGAATAACTAAACGCATAGCATTAAACCGAATGTACACATTCTGTAACCAAAATACTCAAGTCTAGAATGCAGTTAAAAACTACTAAGAGATTATGTTTTCTCAATGATTACAATATCACCATTCGGGAAAAATTACACCAATAGTAAAAATTAACATGGATGTGCAAAATAATAACCAAAAAAAATGAATAAAATTGAAGTAGTTATAAGACATAATACTCAAAAGATGCCACGAAAAATGCACTAAAAATAGCAGTTTTGAAAAGCTTATCTATTATTAAATCCAGAATAAATACAAATTGTATATTAGTGCTTCAATTTTTTGTAAAATTATTGCACTAATATATAATCACTAATAACACATTAAACTTTAAAACTTAACAAACACATAAACACTTTAAAACTCATTAGCTCTCAGATACATTCCTTTGTTTTTAATTAAGAAAAAGTCAAAATTAGCAGTTTAATTATTTTTGTAAAAAAGAACAAAATGCATGGCAGACCAAACGGACGTCACGGTGAACGTTGACATCACTGGTCTAGTAACTAGTTTGTACTCTATGTCCACGCCCTCTAGTGAACTGCGGTGCTTGTTTATTGCAGCTGTACATAATTTGTTCTTTTTTTATTTGATTTTTATAAGTTGTTATGATTAATAATAATTGATAACATTCAGTCTCTTTGCCAGAAAAATCTGACATTCGCAAATTTTATGACACATTTTTTTCCAGATTTTTTTAAAGATTTATAATTCGTAAACTTTAAACTTAAAAAAAAAAAAACTTATGTTATTAAAATTTAATTCTTTATGTCATTCTGAAATTCAAATATTTCAAATAAAATAAAACACAATTCATGTATTTACAAAAAATTAATAAATAAATAAAATAAGGAACATTTTAGTAAACATTCCAAGCTAGTCAAAACATTAAATTTCATATAAAGCACAAGAAATTGGAAAATGATAATAATTGCTGAGATATAGTCTCATTATAGCCTGTTAGCGTACAATTAGTTTGCTAGTAAAACGTTTTCCTGGTTTTCATTTGTGTGTAATGGAAATTCTAATTATTTTCATTCAAAAAGTCTTTCAAAATATGATTTTACTCCTCTATTTCAATTACAAGGTACTTTGATATATGGGTCGTATTAAAAGTTAAAAATATAAGAAAGTGTTTCACAACATCCACTAAGATGACAAATTGTCTGTCAAGGATGATAAAAAAAATTAATGGTTAAAAAAACAATTCATTGCGATAATGAACATTTAGCTGTAATGCGATTATTGTTCAGCAATCTAAAAGACATTTTCGTGGTTTTCCTTTGCATTTAACGC